TCATCAATTATCATCCATCATCATCAATCATCCATTATCATCACCAATCATCAATCAACAATTATCATCATCAATCATCAATCAACATCAATCATCAATTATCATCGTCAATCGTCCATTATCATCAATCATCAATTATCATCATCCATCATCATCAATCATCCATCATCATCAATCATCCATCATCATCAATCATCCATCATCATCAATCATCCATCATCATCAATCATCCATCATCATCAATCATCCATTATTATCATCTATCATCAATTATCATCATCATCAATCATGCTTTGGTATTTTTGTTTTTCCTTGTTTTTCACATCATCGATTGCCGTACATTATTTGCCGATTTCAGCCGGAACTGAAAGGCTCGGTGGCCGAGTTCATGGCCTACGTCCACACCAGCGTGAACGAGATGAGCAAGATCTACCTGCAGAATGAGCGGCGCTACAACTACACCACTCCCAAGAGCTTCCTGGAGCAGATCAAGCTGTACCAGAACCTGCTGGGCCAGAAGAGCAAGGAGCTGACGGCCAAGATGGAGCGTCTGGAGAACGGTCTGACCAAGCTGCAGAGCACCGCTCAGCAGGTGGGTAGCTGGCCAAGTCCGTTCCCAGCCGTTCAGCTCATCAGGCCGGTGTTTGTCTCCGGTCTCCTGGGCGTGAAACCACTGAGAAATAAGTCTTGTCCTCCCTTGATGGGTTGCCAGTCAATTGCAGTTTGGTCCCCAGCTAATGCCGATGACCATTTGTACTCCTGGGTAGAGAGCGGCAAGTAAAGTGGCTTGCCCCAGGCCACAACTTACACCTTGAAGCTGGATTCGAACCCCTCGCCCTCTGTTCATGAGTCACAAACCTTTAACCACATGGCCACCTGCACCCCCAGCTCTCTCCTAGAAACCCCAGTAGTCATACAAGATTCGTTTTTCAATAGATCTGTGGTATGTATTGTTCACAGAATACTTTGATCATTAAGCTGATTTGTATATTTACTACGGTTTCGGTGATCTGCGGCATGTGTTGCACATAAGAGATCATGTGATGCAAAGAAGCTTGTTATTAAGTTACGTGAAGAGATCGTGGAAGTATATGTGACCGAGGTGTTTTTTCCACAAAAAATGTTGTGTAGAAGTTTGAAGCAGTTGATGCATAAAGAGGCAGCAGCAGCACTTCTTCAGAGAAATCCCAAAACTGTAGACTTACAACCAGTCGCTCACATGTCCAGTCATGAGTCAGAGCAGTGATAAGGAACAGGTTTTGTCAGATGTCATTTGAAGAGCTTTTGCAGTGGCTTGAATTGAGTCTACATTTAAACCTTGATACTTCTGTCTGCCAGGTGGACGACCTGAAAGCGAAGCTGGCCTCCCAGGAGGCGGAGCTGAAGATCAAAAATGAGGATGCTGACAAGCTGATTCAGATTGTGGGAGTAGAGACGGAGAAGGTCAGCAAGGAGAAGGCCATCGCCGACGAGGAGGAGATCAAGGTTGCCGCCATCAACGAAGCCGTCTCTAAGAAGGCTAAAGAGTGTGAGGAGGACCTCGCCAAGGCCGAACCGGCCCTGAAGGCTGCCCAGGAAGCCTTGAATACGCTGAATAAGGTGAGTTTCTACGCCTGAAGGTTACTTGGAAAACCCTCAGCCTTCTGTGTTGTGCTGCTGGAAGGCTGGTCAACTAGCCTTGAATATCCTGCATTCTGCAACCTGTTTTGGAAGCCCTGAATGCCTTTTGTTGTGCTGCGTGAAGGTTGTTCAGGTAGCCCCAAAGACATTTAGTTCTGCTGTCTAAAGTGTGTTTAGGAAGCCCCCAAAGCATCGTTAGCTCTGTTGATAGAAGGCTGTTCAAGGAGGCCTTAGTTCTGCTGCCTGAAGGTTGTAACAAAGCCTAGAAACATTTAGTTCCGCCTGAAGGCTGTTCAGGAACATTCAGGAAACGTACAAGTGTCTTTTCCCCAAAACTTTGAAGGCTTGGATTTATATGGATACTACAGAATGTAGTGTAAAGACAATGCATGATAACTGAGGCACAAACTGAAAACAGCGAATGAAAAGTTCGATAGGGCTGTATTCAACATTTCCTAATGGCTTGTCTTTCTTTCCTATTGTCACATCACCTCAGAACAACCTGACAGAGTTGAAGTCGTTCGGCTCCCCACCGACCCAGGTCGTCCTCGTAACAGCTGCAGTGATGGTCCTCCTGGCTCCCAATGGCAAAGTGCCCAAGGACAAGAGTTGGAAGGCCGCTAAGGTCATGATGGCAAAGGTAGGCGGGAAGACATGTCTACTGTCAGTGGCAATACACTGGGTCGTGTTTCATTCGCAGTTAACCCTAACAGTCATCGATCCTCAATTTCAATACGATTTGACGTACTCCCTAGGGGGTTAGGGTTAAAGGTTGTGCCTCTTCTGTTGACAGATTTGGACAGGAATAAATTGTTATACCTGTAGCTAAGGCAGTTTCAGAAATTTGTGATTTTTTTTTAAGCAGGAATCATAAAGTGATGATGGAGAATCTGTAAAAATGGTTTTGAAAAAGCCATATAAACCGATAAATTATCCAGGTGATGTTAGAATTTATTGATGTTTGGTTCTTGTCTCAGTTTACTATCTTTGTTGCTTCTCAGGTGGATGCCTTTTTGGACTCGCTCATCAATTACGACAAGGAGCACATCCATGAGAACAGCCTGAAGGCCATGCGGCCCTACCTGGACAACTCCGACTTTGACCCCGAGCTGATCCGCAGCAAGTCCCTGGCGGCCGCCGGCCTGTGCTCCTGGGCCATCAACATCGTCCGGTTCTACGAGGTGTACTGCGACGTGGAGCCCAAGCGTATCGCCCTACAGAAGGCCAACGATGAGCTGCAGGCTGCCCAGGAGAAGCTGGCTCTCATCAAGGCCAAAATCCAGGTGAGGTCCCCCCCTCCAGAAAAATATTTAGTCTCTTGTCAGACGGAGGTTTCATCATTGATACAGTGACACTATTTTTGTTAACGCAGAATGGCTTCAGTTTTCCTTCCACAAAAGATAGACACGGGAAAAAAGGTACATTCTGTCGTGTACTCCGAGTCTTTTCTAATCACAGTCATTTTAAGTGACTACTAGCTGTCCTTTTTGTTGAGCCCCCGATAACAACTTCGTACCCATGGTCCACTAATATTCATTCAACATCAACCTCGTCCGGACCTACCCCCCTGAGTACAAGGTCGACCTGCCTACGAAAATTTGAAGTGGTGCAGAAACAAGAGGTGCTGTTTTTACTGGAAGGAAAAAATTTGACTCACATGTTTAAAATTGACGCGTGTGCTGATTAGAGATCAAATATGGTCATTTTATTATCATTATCAAATACCAGTTTTCAGGAGCGAGGATTCTGGAGAGCGTAAAGAATAGAATCCCAAATTTGAAAAAAAAGAAGGAAGATGGGAGAAGACAAGATTACAAGTATTAAAAGCCAGTTAAAGCTTAAATTATTGTTAGTAAGAAACTGAATTCCTGGGGCAGATTCAGAAAGCTGCTGTGAAATGAAATCTCCCTCAGCAAGATTAATTTCCAAGCAAAAATTGGTATAGTGCCAGTCGCAAGCAGTATGTATGCCATGATCTTTTGGCTGGTAACCAGATTCTAGTGAGCAAATATTTTGTCTTGCTGAGCAGTTCGGTGTAATGTGATCAACTGAGACTGGAATACATTTGGAGATTGACGTCGTCAGTGCCAAATGGGGTGAATGATTGAGGTCAATGGAAAAAGCTTTCTCTGAGCACCTTTCATTGTGCGTGACTGTGGCTATATGCCCCACAGATCACCAGTGCTTTAAACTGAAGACTAAGCCTAAATATGCTCAAGTTGGACACGGCTCGCGGTCAATTCTTTGGGTACCTTAGTTTTAGCGTGTAGGCCCTCGACACATTATAAACTGCTTTTTTGTGTTTGTCTTCTCTTGACTTGATCAGGATCTGGATGCCAATCTGGCCGAGCTGACGGCCAAGTTTGAGAAGGCCACCGGCGACAAGCTGAAGTGCCAGCAGGAGGCCGAGGCCACCAGCTTGACCATCACCCTGGCTAACCGTCTGGTGGGTGGCCTGGCCTCGGAGAATGTCCGTTGGGGTGAGGCAGTGGCCGCTTTCAAAGAAGCCGAAAAGACACTGCGTAAGTAAACCTTTCCTCTGGGTTTTAGATTGCAAAACCACTGTGATCATGGGAGTGTCGCCATGGTCAGTCGGTCCGAGTGCTGCAAATTGAGTCTGAGTCTTGAGTGACAGCTACAAATCATATAAATCTGAGCCTAATTGGGAAACCCCACTTATGATTAGCAACAACACTTAACCAGTTGTAACAGAAAGTTCCTCAACTGCATTAACCATTGGGTTAGTACAGAATTCTTGCTTTTCCGCATCAGTAGATCATGTTGATGGTATTATCGGTTATCTGAGGATTATTGTAACAGGAGATTGTTTTCAGAAAAGCACCAGTGCAATGTAGTTCAATCCAGTTTGATCCAGTTCAACCCAGTTTGATCCTGTTCAATCCAATGTCATCACTTTTAGATATTCGTCAGTCCTAGTCTCGAGGATCCTCCCAAAAATCTGCCGGGAGGTTTCGAAGGAATTAGACTTTGATTAACCCTAACCCCCTAGGGTGTATGTCAAATCATATTGAAATTGGAGGATTTGGGACTGTTAGGGTTAATCTGGGAAAGGATTTCAAGCAATAATATGCGGGAAGTTGGTGACATTGATACATGTTGACGTCTTGGTTCAGTGTTGTTGCATCTATTTCTGGTATCTTGCAGCTGGTGACGTGCTCCTGATCACTGCCTTTGTGTCCTACATGGGCTGCTTCACCAAGAGCTTCCGTGTTGAGCTGATGGATAACATGTGGCTGCCCTTCATTAAAGCGCAGAAGGTAACCAATATTGTGTATGTTGAGTTGTGCAGTACAATCCATTATGTCACTCCTCGTCTTTGCAACAGCAGACCTGCAGGTTTCATGTGGTTACATTATTGGTTGACAAGTTTGCCTAGCAGATTTGCCTGTGGGTGAAATAATGGCAAGTATTTAGAATCTCACTATCTTTTGGTCAGGAATCTGTACTTTGATAAGCAAATATTTGTTGGTGTAAGTTTGGGATGACTTGACAGCCCAAAGTGTGTCCCTACAAATTACTACAGTAGGGGCGAATCACAATAGTGCGCCACCAAGAGTTTGCAACGCGTTGGCCAATCACGATGCTCGAAATCTGTCGACTCTTTCCAAATGTGCATTCGGTTGACAGATTTCGTGCGTTGTGATTGGCCAACACATTGCAAACTCTTGGTGGTGCACTATTGTGAAACGGCCGTATTGGAAAAAAATACATGCAGCTGTAATCTCCTACCAGCAAGATTTTCCATTTTTCTGATCTAAAAAGCCCAAATGTTCCCAGCCTTTTTACCTCAGTAGTCCTTTTGTCAAACTGCTTTTTGTTAATCATGCCGTCTCATCTTCCCTGTTCCAGACGCCAATCCCCACCACTGAGGGCCTGGACCCGCTCAGCTTGCTGACAGACGATGCCACCATTGCCAGCTGGAACAACGAGAGCCTGCCCAGCGACCGCATGTCCACCGAGAACGCCACCATCCTGTCCAGCTGCGAGCGCTGGCCGCTCATGATCGACCCCCAGCTGCAGGGCATCAAGTGGATCAAGACCAAGTACGGCGATGATCTGCGGGTGGTCCGGCTGGGCCAGCGAGGCTACCTAGACATCATCGAACGCGCCATCTCCAACGGGGACACCGTACTGATTGAGAACATGGAAGAGTCGGTTGACCCGGTCCTTGACCCCGTACTGGGACGAAACACCATCAAGAAAGGAAGGTGGGTCTATTTGCCTTGCTATCTCTTTCAGATGCTTGTCTTCCTGAATCCCAAATTTAATACAAGGACTAAGATGGAATAACAATACTGAAATTATTTTAATATGCAGTGCGTTGTGTCCTTGAAATATTATAAAACTGGATAAATGAAACAGTAACATACAAAAAATTGCTGCAAAAATTTAATATCCACTTGGAAAATTCCCTTTGGCACCAGATATGCATCGTCTCCTTTATTTCCAATTGATTTATAGCTTGGTCATTTTATCTGCCAACGGTACGATTAATGAGCCAAGTTGGGTAATCAAAAAGGCGTGGCAATTCAAGAACAAAGCACCTGATTAGATGCCAGTCTACTCCAGCATGTTCAGTGTGTGTGAGTCGGCTTACGTCCAAGCTTACAGCCTCAGCTACGAGGGTGGGTATACACGCCTCATTTGTGCATGTGCTGCTGGAATACCAAACCGGTTCATTCCTGCTGACGGTTTGATGACGCCATTTTTGCAGGTACATCAAGATCGGCGAGAAGGAGGTTGAGTACAACCCTCTGTTCCGCTTGATCCTGCACACCAAGCTGGCCAACCCCCACTACAAGCCCGAGATGCAGGCCCAGACCACCCTCATCAACTTCACCGTCACCCGGGACGGTTTGGAGGACCAGCTACTGGCAAACGTGGTGGCCCAGGAACGACCCGACCTGGAGAAACTCAAGGTACCAGACCTGAATGTCTCTCGGTAGCTGTCTTGGATTTGATGCGTCTATAAAGAACTGTAAGGCTGAGCGTGAGGTTGAGTTTTGAAGTAGTCTGGTGCATGGGCCTGGAGAAATTCAAGATGCCAGACTTGATTAAAAGTAGCACAGGCTCAGTTTCACGCTAACTTTAATAAACTGGTAACCAGCTTGAGATACCAGGCTTGGCTTCTTGAGGTGTGGTTTTCAAGTGTAGAATAGTAGATTTTGGGGTTTAGGAATGTTGGGGAATTGGCCCAGCGTCTGGGCCAGTTTCACAGAAGTTGTAATAGTGCTCAGAACAAAACCAGCATTTCAGGAACACAGTTCCTCGAAATCTCTTTTTTTTTAACGGAAAACAGCTTCTCTGTGAAGCAGGTAGCCATTGAATTTCTAGGGATTTTTATTCTTAATATCTGTTCATTAATTTTGACCTCCTCAGTGCTCAAAATTTTAGCATTATACCAGGCAAGATAGGACCCCATACCATTTACAAATGAAAAAATACACCCTTGCAGTCTCTGAAACCTCTCAAAAACTGACCTGAAATTACTCGTTGCCTTTGGTAGTCGGACCTGACCAAGCAGCAGAACGACTTCAAGATCATCCTAAAGGAGCTGGAAGACAACTTGCTGTCCCGCCTCTCCTCAGCCGAGGGCAACTTCCTGGGCGACACCGCCCTGGTGGAGAACCTGGAGACCACCAAGCGCACGGCCGCCGAGATCGAGGTCAAGGTGGAAGAGGCCAAGGTGACGGAGGTCAAGATCAATGAGGCCAGGGAGCTGTACCGGCCAGCGGCCGCACGAGCCTCCTTGCTCTACTTCATCCTGAATGACTTGAACAAGATCAACCCCATCTACCAGTTCTCCCTCAAGGTAATCAAGAGGCTATCCCCTGTTTTCTTGGACAATTTGACAGTATGTTACACCATTTAATAATCATGGATCCTGTACTCAGGTAGTGCTGTAGTCGAGTACTTTCCGAGTATTTGTCCTTGCCAAATACTGAGTTTTTCATTTTGAACCTAGTGAGAGACTCATTAAGAGTAGGCAGCATTAAATTAGTGACAGAAGAAAACAATTCCTGGATCTTGGATAAACAACAATACCCGTTTATTAAACTTTGGTTCTGAAGTCAGAAGAACTTGAAAAGTACTGAGTGAGAACTTTGTAAAGTTTTAGTTTTCACAAGATTCTGATCGTCCAAACTCTGTGATTTCCTTTGATGTATTTTCCGTTCAGTGTTCGTGTTTTCAGCAGTAAACTGCGTGTTTTTGACTTTAACCCAATACAATGGTTTTGATCAAGTGGTCATCATTTCAAGAAAACATGACTTGGTTACCCATGAAAAGACTAAATACTCGTCAACATAAGTTGATTTCTCATATATATTCAATTGTCTGGCGTACCGGTTTTATCACATGGAGTATAAATTACCATCAATTTATCGTACCGTTTGTCGTGTCAGGCCTTCAATGTGGTCTTCTCCAAGGCCATTGAGAGAGCCGAGCCGGCGGAGGACGTCAAGGAGCGCGTCATGAACCTGATCGACTTCATCACCTACTCCGTCTTCATCTACACCACCAGGGGGCTGTTTGAGCAGGACAAGCTCATCTTCACCACCCAGGTTGCCTTCCAGGTCAGTCCAGCTGCTCATTGGCATCTGTGCATGAACGGCAGAGGGCGCTATACAGCCCGCGCGGCGGATCTGTTTTCAAAATGTAGTTCAGCACACGCGCACTCACAGTTTGGGCGTGCGCTGGTTGAATCTTGGTGGAGAAGTGAAAGTGTAGTGCGGCGATATGTGTTGATGCGATATTGGGGAAAAGAAACGAGGGGCGTTTACGTGCCCACCGTGTCAGCCCAATGGTTGAAAGCATGTGAAATTAACCATACTGTAATTGAGGTTTACATTGAGGATTCATGAAGTTTTTACCGGGTGCTATTTCACGGAGCTGCTTAAAAGTTAGCAACTTCAGCAGAAAATTTGCCAACCTTAAGCACTATTTCATGGCGGCACCTGGCGTGCTCGTGCTAACGGTTTGGGCGCGCATAGAGATTTCAATTGTTACATCACTAAGTTTAAGCAAATCTTTCCTCCGAGGTTAGCATGCCTTTGGCTGTACTTACTGCTTACAGTCTCCATGAAATACGCGGAGCCCCTGTAAGAATGATATCACATGCCAAGCAACGCCCCTGAAATGGGCCCAGGTAGTTTGGGTGTACCTCAGAAGTATAATCTCAAGTTGTCACCTGTTGGATTGTGCATTTTCCCCCCGTAGTATTTTTGAGAGGAATGTAACTGTTTCATGTTCTGCGTAATCGGAATGTGCCTTTTACAGGATGTGTTATCGGAATGTGCCTCTTACAGGATGTGTTATCGGAATGTGCCTCTTACAGGATGTGTTATCGGAATGTGCCTCTTACAGGATGTGTTATCGGAATGTACCTCTTACAGGATGTGTTATCGGATTGTGCCTCTTACAGGATGTGTTATCAGAATGTGCCTCTTACAGGATGTGTTATCAGAATGTGCCTCTTACAGGATGTGTTTTTAGCAGTGGTGCTGTTTTTTGTTCTTTGCCGCAGATTCTTCTGATGAAGAAGGAGATCAACCCGTTGGAGTTGGACTTCCTGCTGCGCTTCCCCTCCCAGGTCAACGTCACCAGCCCCGTGGACTTCCTGTCCAACTCAGCCTGGGGTGCCATCAAGGTGAGGAGAACCCAAGGCCAGGAACGGGAAATCATGAAATGTCCTGGAGAAAAAAGTTGTCAGAGGAAAACAAGTCATGGAAATCAAGATCATGGAATGGTTATGTTTAATAGACCCTATGTGATTTGATAATGGAATAATCATAAGTTGACTGGCTATCGTTGTCAGTCTGCGTAGTAGTAGCTATGGCCATCTTCCAGTTCATAACGCCTAACAACTTTTGTTTTCATAAATGGCATTAAATATCATGGAAATTGTCATATTGAATCCTGGAAATTCCTGGAAAAGTCAAGGACTTTGGTTTTCCAATATATTTCTGTGGGAACCCTGTCAGAAGTATATAATGTAGCCAGCCATGACACAAGCATACGAACTTGATATCAACTTGAAAACTCACAAATGGTTGTCGATTGTGTTTCTAGTCCCTCGCCGCCATGGAGGAATTCCGTAACCTGGACAGGGACATCGAGGGCTCGGCCAAACGCTGGAAGAAGTTCGTGGAGAGCGAGTGCCCAGAGAAGGAGAAATTCCCCCAGGAATGGAAGAACAAGTCCTCCCTGCAGAAGTTGTGCATGATGCGGGCCCTACGCTCAGACAGAATGACCTATGCCGTCAGGTAAAGGGAACCACACAAAGAAGGAAGTTTTTCAGTGTAGTTTTCTCACTTGGGACGAGTGAGTGTATTCTCACTTGGGACAAGTGAGTGTATTCTCACTTGGGACAAGTGAGTGTATTCTCACTTGGGACAAGTGAGTGTATTCTCACTTGGGACAAGCCAGTAAGTTCAACTATGTTAGTGCCTACCTTGTGTCGGTGTTCCTTCATTTTTGAATAATTATAAAGAAAACTCGGTGGAAATATTCATTTTTCTTGTAACTGGGTCATTCCTTGAGGTTAAGGCACAATTTGTGACGGTGTCCTTGTTATATCCAAAACTTTTACCACCTGTCTTGACCTGTAGAGTAGGTCATTTACTCTGTAAAAATAACACACACCTCTGTATTCAGCCTTGCAAGATGTATAACAATGTCAATTGGGAATCCACACGCAGGGAAGTAACTGTTCATTTTTACGGAACCCATCACCGACACCGTCACAAATTGTGCCCCAACCTCATGGCGTGACCCAACTATGAACCCTCTCTTGAGCTAGATTTTTTATGACGATTTCCTTGACTGTTCCCCTTAATTTTGTGGCAGACAACCCTTACCCCAAAATCGCTCTAAATCTGTTCTTTAGAGAGGGGAAAACTTTGTGTGGATGAAGGCACGTCCTGTCGGAGGTCCTCACACTGACTGACACGATTGTACAGAAAGGAGAAAGTGAGGAAATTGAGCGTGCACTGAATGATTTTTTTGTATTTTTATCCTCGATCCAGAAACTTCATCGAGGAGAAGTTGGGCACGAAGTACGTGGAGAACCGCCCCATGGACTTTGCCAAGTCCTTCGAGGAGACGGGGCCGGCCACGCCTGTCTTCTTCATCCTGTCGCCGGGCGTGGACCCGCTAAAGGACGTGGAAGCCCTGGGCAAGAAGCTGGGCTTCACCTTCGACAACAAGAACTTCCACAACGTGTCGCTTGGTCAGGGCCAGGAGATTGTGGCCGAGCAGTCCATGGACCTGGCTGCCAAGGAAGGCCACTGGGTCATTCTTCAGGTCAGTGGATTGAGTCGCTCAAATTGATTAAAAATCTCAAGAGTTCATGAGCAATCAGAGCAGTTTCAAAGTGTTGCAGTTGAGTACTTTTTAGTCTCAACTTTAACGCCAAAATAAAGATTACTAAATAAAATGATAACTCCTGACCATCACTGTTTAATCCGTAAAACCTATAATATTTACAAAACTTGGAGTGTCTGAAGTCTTAAATTTATATGCTAATTCTAACTTACAGATCCAGGAAGTTGCCCTAGAAACTATGTGCTCAGCAGGGTTAAAACACACCAGTCTTATGTCTGTAGAAAAAATTGGGAGTGTCTAAAGTCTGAAATTTATGTTGTAATCTTACCTTTGCGCATTTATACCATCCGGTGTCCGTTTTCTTCCGCATAGTTTGGTTTGGTTTGGTTTATTTCCATACATCATAATTAGAACATGAAGAAGCGATGTTATTACAGAATGAAATAATAGATGGTGAATGGCGGATACCAGACAGAAAGCGAAAGGCTTATTCATGGCCTGGTTCCTTGTTTGTTATAATAAAATCCACATGAGGCTATAATTACTAAAAACAGAAGAGAGAGTAAAGACAGTAAGATAACTGAAGGTACAGCTGAACGTTAGAATTAAGCAAGATTTTCTTTGTCCTAACATCTTAGGAACGATACAGTTCTAGACATGACTGTTTCATTATTAAGGTTATAAATGCACAGTAGAAATGTCATATACGTACACAAAATACATGTACAATACAGGGTGGATAAACTATAGTACACTGGGAAGGAGGATATTCTTCAAGGACTTCTTAAAACCATGTATACTTATGGTATTGGGGTGATTTTATTCCAGAGCAAAGGACCTTGATGTCGAACTTTTCGCTCCAAATTTAGTTCCATATTTGACAGTGAACTGGGTACTCAAATAGTGCTCAACTAGAACCTTACAGTTTGCCGAGCTGCTGTGTTTATTGCCAAGGCAAATGTTGAGTGTCTGTCGCAGTGCAGAATAAGGTTTAAGTACTGACGTGCATGCACACATTCAATTGTCACAGAGTTAGGTCTGATGTAAAGACTTTGTAAATTTCATCCCGGAGCAAATTCTGTGAAGCTGCTGTGCTCAGAAATCGGAGCAAAGTTAATTTTGCCGAAATATTCAGAGAGGGATTCACCAGTCAGAATGTGGTGGCATCANTTTGTCCGAGTTCGGAGACCCCGGCCACACATATAAACCATACGGCTCCGATTTCGGAGTCCCCGGCTGGTAGTGGTTAACATCAAAATAAAGATTACTAAATAAAATGACAACTCCTGACCATCACTGTTTAATCCGTAAAACCTAATATTTACAAAACTTGGAGTGTCTGAAGTCTTAAATTTATATGCTAATTCTAACTTACGGATCCAGGAAGTTGCCCTAGAAACTATGTGCTCAGCAAGTTTAAAACACACCAGTCTTATGTCTGTAGAAAAAATTAAGAGTGTCTTAAGTCTGAAATTTATTTTGTAATCTTACCTTTGCGCATTTTATACCATCCGGTGTCCGTTTTCTTCCGCATAGTTTGGTTTGGTTTATTTCCATACATCATAATTAGAACATAAAGAAGCGATGTTATTACAGAATGAAATAATAGATGGTGAATGGTGGTTACCAGACAGAAAGCAAAAGGCTTATTCATGGCCTGGTTCCTTGTTTGTTATAATAAAATCCACATGAGGCTATAATTACTAAAAACAGAAGAGAGAGTAAAGACAGTCAGATAACTGAAGGTACAGCTGAACGTTAGAATTAAGCAAGATTTTCTTTGTCCTAATATCTTAGGAATGATACAATTCTAGACATGACTGTTTCATTATTAAGGTTATAAATGCGCAATAGAAATGTCATACATACACCAAATACATGTACAATACAGGGGAAATAAACTATATTTTTTTTTACAGGGGAAATAAACTATATTACACTGGGAAGGAGGATATTCTTCTAGTACTTTTTAAAACCATGTATACTTCTAAAGTATGGTACTGGGGTAATTTTATTCCAGAGCAAAGGACCTTGATGTTCAACTGTTCGCTCCAAATTTAGTTCCATATTTGACAGTGAACTGGGTACTCAAATACTGCTCAAATAGAACCTTACAGTTTCCCGAGCTGCTGTGTTTATTGCCAAGGCAAATGTTGAGTGTCTGGGGCAGTGCAGAATAAGGTTTAAGTACTGACGTGCATGCACACATTCAATTGTCACAGAGTTAGGTCTATTAATGTAAAGACTTTGTAAATTTCATCCCGGAGCAAATTCTGTGAAGCTGCTGTGCTCAGAAATCGGAGCAAAGTTAATTTCGCCGAAATATTCAGAGAGGGATTCACCAGTCAGAATGTGGTGGCATGGNTTAATACTTGGCTTGTTGTTAGTTGGGTGGGTTTCACCCACCATATAACTGTGATTGGCTGTATTCTCGGCATATTTGGCTCAGGGGATAGGCCAGAGGGTTTAAGGGGATGGGTTGCTTCGTTTGGACCAAGGAACTTCTCAACATCATTGAACTATGTTCAGACAGAGTATTAAAGTTACATTAGTGATGTAATGCCTTGATGCTGAGCCCTGGCCTTAACCCTAACACTCCTCAGTCCTCCAACAGGTGAAGGATTGAGGAGGGTTAGGGTTAAGGCTTGATTTTTAGGGTCTTGTTCTTCGCCTTAAGGCTTGAGGGTCAAAGCCTTGGCCTTGAAGATCACTGAGTTGTACCCACCAGTCAGGGAAACGTCTCCTTGCCATTTTTTTTTTATCTAGAACATCCACTTGGTGGCCAGGTGGCTGAGCACCCTGGAGAAGAAGCTGGAAGCCACCGGCGAGGGCAGCCATCCTGACTACCGTGTCTTCATGAGTGCTGAGCCAGCCGGCACTCCAGAGAGCCACATCATACCACAGGTACAACTTAGGACGAGATGCAGATCCTCTCTGTGCGTGCACTATAGAGGGCGCTTTGTTTAACTAGCAAGTACTTGATTAACATCTCCTCCGGGTAGATTTCTCCATTTTTGCGACCCTTTCGTTTGGATGTGTGGAAAGGTGTCAGATGCAGAGAATATTTGACTGTAACGATCTTTAATGGTTCGAACTCCTATATCCAGTTCTGCTGTGGATTCAGGATTATTGGAAGAAATGTTATTGATTCAGGAACTCGTAATAAAATGCCAAGGGTGCTTCCTATTGCCAAAGTCAATGGATTGGACTGGTAAACTGATACCAACATACAGTAACATACTGAGCAGTACCTCTTGACTAGAACCAATCAAATCCACGCAAGATTTACCAAATTCCCTGTCCCCCGCCTCTTCACCTCGTACCCAGGGCATCTTGCAAGCCTCCATCAAGATCACGAACGAGCCCCCCACGGGCATGTTCGCCAACCTCCACAAGTCCCTGGACAACTTTGACCAGGACACCCTGGAGATGTGCGCCCGGGAGGCCGAGTTCAAGGCCATCCTCTTCTCTCTCTGCTACTTCCACGCCGTGGTGGCCGAGCGCCGTAAATTTGGCCCGCAGGGCTGGAATCGAGTCTACCCCTTCAACACCGGCGACCTGACCATCTCCGTCAACGTGTTGTACAACTACTTGGAGGCAAATTCTAAGGTGGGTTTTTTTAGTCTCATAAAATTGACGATTTAATGCATCTAAAATTTGCAAAACTTCTGAATTTCTGTGACCGGAAAGACAGGCATCCAAGACAAGTTGTCTGCACTAGAATTCAAAATTCAAAAAAGAATATCTAAACCAGTGGATGAAATGCACTTCTAACATCTCCTGTAAACTTCTGTATCTAAATGGGACATGCTGCGGCACGAAAGTTGTGTTAAAAATTCTGAATCTGGCAAGAGTGTTATCGTGACGGATTCTGTTCGATGCAGTTGAAGCTTGTTGGGGTATTGAAATTACCAGGAGATCTTTGAAAAACTCCCTTCAGGAACTGTTTTCCTTGAAAGTACATTCCTGTAAAAGATGTCACTGCCATCGTGCTGCGACTGGTCTACTGAAAAAACATAAATAAATAAAAAATGTCATTTTCTTGTGATGCTACCGTTGTCTAGGTACCGTGGGAGGATCTGCGTTACCTGTTCGGTGAGATCATGTACGGGGGTCATATCACCGATGATTGGGATCGACGTTTGTGCCGGACCTACCTTGAGGAATACATGCAGCCGGATATGGTAAGCCCAGAATTGGAACTGTTGTCAACACCACGTGAATGATCTACTTCATTATTTTAGCTTCAGAAGTGCAAAGCTTCAGATCTCACCGTTTTAATCGGTGAATGATAAATCTAACTCTAAATGGAAAGGACAGTTCAAAGGAGAGAAACATGACAAAGACAGCAATGTCAAATGTAAGGATAGTTTCATAAAACTCCTGTCTCTCTTTTTGCTTCGGGGACTGGTTGTGTTTTGTCCTTTGTTCCATCTTGTACATTTATGTTTTGTTTACCTGTGTTTTCTAAGAAATGAAATAAATAAAGTAAAGAAATTTGCTCCCCCCGAAGAAGAGATTAAAAGATAAACTATAATCTGATTTTTTTTATGTCTGTTAAGCTTCTCTTTCACAAATGTCACTGCCATTCTGAACATGTGAGATCAATTGTCCCACTCAAGAACTCTCAAACTATTAAAAGAAATCCCAACGTTTAAAATTGTACGTGCAACATTTTACCATTGAAATGCCGTGCAAAAGATTTGTCAAGTGCCAGCTCACATGGCAAGAGTTTTGAGGTCTTGTTCCCAGTGCCTGAAACTTTCAGACCACATCATCATCAGTCAATTAGGCTGCATTGGCGTACGTTACTCTCAGCCTTCATGGGTGTTGGAAAATGTTTTATGCACACTGCCCAAATGGTCATACCTTTCTGCCACGTTGAAATAACCACATGAGGCAAAAGTATGCTCTCGGTCCGATGGCTGATGTGTTCCCATTGCTTGTGAGTGTACTCATGTTGATGTACTGAAAAACAGCTTTATTGTCAAGCAAAGGAGAAGCAGATTTCACTGTTGATTGTCTTCTTTTGTTTTCCAGCTTGACGGTGAGGTTTACCTGGCCCCCGGCTTCCCCATTCCCCCCAACTCGGACTACGTCGGTTACCACCTGTACATTGACGAGGTGCTGCCCCCGGAGAGCCCGTACCTGTACGGTCTGCACCCCAATGCCGAGATCGGCTTCCTGACCACCACTTCCGACAACCTCTTCAAGGTGGTGCTGGAGATGCAGCCTAGGGACAGCGGGGCTGGAGCAGGCGCAGGCACCAGCCGTGAGGAGAAGGTAATGGGCACTCCCTTCAGTCATTGTCACATTCGGATTTCGCCAACATCAGGAGTCCGATAGGGTGTTCTATTTCAATTTCTCTGAGCTGGTATTTTTTATTCTGATGAGCCCCAGACTTCCGACAGGGTTGTCTACATCTTGGCTTCATTTTTAAGCTCCCACTGGTATTTTTGAGATTTTATTTCAGAATGAATAACCCCATTATGGATTTAGTGTCAGAGATGAAGCCTATTATGGAGATTAGGAAGGATTTTGGAAATCCTTCAAACCTGCCGTGCTGTGTGTAACATGTATATTACAGAATAGTGTGAAAATTGATTCCATTCCAAGTCTGTTACGAGACCGCTCACAACATGCATTTGATTTGCAACAGTGTGCCATGCAATATGGCCTCAGTAGCAGGTTTTAATACGGTCTTCTGGGTACCAGTCCAAGATGGCGTTGGATGCTTTTTCCCTGTCTCATAGCATTCTGTGATTGGTTCACACAGATCAAGGCTCTGCTAGACGAGATCATGGAGAAGCTGCCAGACGAGTTCAACATGCTGGAGATCATGGGCAAAGTGGAGGAGCGGACCCCGTACATCGTGGTGGCCTTCCAAGAGTGTGAACGCATGAACATGCTCACCTCTGAGATCAGGCGCTCCCTCAAGGAATTGGATCTCGGGTTAAAGGTCAGCATTTTTTTCTCTTCCTTATCCAGTTCGTAAGTGTGACATGACTTCAGTTTAAATCAAGCCCACTGCACACGTGCAGTGATTTCTCTTATTGTACACTCACTGAGGGAGACACATACTGTGTGCTGGTCTATGTATCCGGTACATGTGGCATGAAATACACAAGTAGTTTTCAACAGAATGTGCACAGATTAGTTGCTTAGAAGTGACATTTCAGTTTACTTCAAGAAGTTGACTGTGATTTGCAGTGCCGCGAGCGATATTCCTGAACTTTTTGGGGAGAATTGTTATTCAGGATGCTTGGTACTAAGTTTCTGTTTTTATTTTTAGGGCGAGCTTACCATCACATCAGACATGGAGGAACTTAGCAACGCCCTGTTCTTGGACCAGGTGCCAGCTTCCTGGAGCAAGCGAGCCTACCCGAGCATGCTGGGTCTGTCCAGCTGGTACGCCGACCTGCTGCTGCGCATCAAGGAGCTAGAGAGCTGGACGGCCGACTTTGCCCTGCCCACTGTGGTCTGGCTTGGTGGCTTCTTCAACCCCCAGAGCTTCCTGACGGCCATCATGCAGTCCATGGCCCGCAGGAACGAGTGGCCGCTGGACAAAATGTGCCTGCAGTGCGACGTGACCAAGAAGAACAAGGAGGACTTCAGCAGTGCCCCCCGGGAGGGGGCCTACGTCCACGGACTCTTCATGGAAGGGGCTCGCTGGGACACCCAGACGGGGATGATCGCCGACGCTCGCCTGAAGGAGCTGACTCCCACCATGCCGGTCACCTTCATCCGCGGCATCTCAGTGGACAAGCAAGAGACCCGTAACATTTATGAGTGTCCGGTGTATAAGACCAAGCAGCGTGGGCCCACGTTTGTCTGGACATTCAACCTGAAGACCAAAGAGAAGCCAGCCAAATGGACGCTGGCCGGAGTCGCTCTGCTGCTCCAAGTCTAACCAGGAATCTCCCAAAATGCAGACACCATTCAGAAATGGATACAAATTCATTTGTTCTTTTCGCGTGTTTTTTCATCCATTCTATACAAAGATTGAATTTTTAAGGACCAAAAAGTTTTCCAGATTTCTGATGTTGAAGAAAGTGTTATCTTAATGTTTTTGTTTGACCAAACATTTCGTTAGCAAGCTTTAAGTGTTCTGCTTTCTATAGTCAGCTCATACATTGCAGATGTTATGGTCTAGATTATGGCATACGTTGCAGCTGTTATGGTCTAGATTATGGCATACATTGCAGCTGTTATGGTCTAGATTATGGCATACGAAGCAGCTGTTACGGTCTAGATTATGGCATACGTTGCAGCTGTTATCGTCTAGATTATGGCATACGTTGCAGCTGTTATGGTCTAGATTATGGCATACGTTGCAGCTGTTATGGTGTAGATCATAGTAAACTTGCCGTGAAGTGGAGACAGCAAGGTTGAAACTGGACTCATTTATAGTCTAGAGGAGTAATTTACAATACAATGCTCTACGGAATGTTCTTTTTTGGTAATGTGCAGTATCAAACACAGGTGCATTTGAAGCCCTGTGAACTCACTCAATGTTCTCCACGAAGATGTATCTTTGAAAAGGTTAGTCAAACAAAAACAAAATTGTAAAAAATTGCAAAGTCCTCAATACTCTACAAACAGCATTGAAATGATTCAACTAAATGTGGCACATTGTATTGTAGATCACTTGTGCTGAATGTAGATAGCGCAATAAGATTTGCTTATCAAAATGGATTTGTGTAAAGCACAGTTGTTCCACAGCATTATTTAAATGCAATAAGGTGCCGTTTGGGATTGTTTACCCCTAACAGTCCTCAATCGTTCACCTGTTGGAGGACTGAGGATTGTTAGGGATAAGGGACCATTGAAAGTACAATGAATAATCAAATATGATTTCAGCTGGATTGACATAAGTAACTTCATTCTGAGCATGATGCAAAAGATATCCAGTGTATTTTAAAGAAGCCGCGTGAGGAATTCGGTGCATTCCTGTTCAAAATTCTGGCGTTATGAATTCTGGTTTTACAAGCACAGATGTACATAGAAGTGATGTAAATATTTCTGATATCATTCTAATGTTCACAACCTTTTCCAGCTTGTTTTCCCCAGCAGTTTTATTCAAGAAACTAAGCTTTGTTGCATTGTTTAATTTGGCACATTAAACATAAATGCAGGTGCCATCCTTAATTTTTCTCGAAAATACTTTATCAGTTCTCAAACGCTGGGTGAAAATTAAATATATTCTTGGCTAAAATTGTACCTCAGAGAAGTTTGAATGGTTAAGTGCTATTTAGCTTTGATATTAAATTTTCATCTATGATGGTTGTGTGTGTATTCAGCAGTTGTACATATCTCTCTCTTGTTTCCATCCAAAATGCATCTGTGTGTTCGAGCATTAACCCTAACCCTCCTCAATCCTTCACCTGTTGGAGGACTGAGGAGTGTTAGGGTTAAAGATACTTGCTGTAGGATTTCTTACTGAAAAGTTTGAAGTAGTGTAGAAAAATTAATCTGAAAAACAAAATCCAAGTTCTACACATAAATTTGTATTCATAATACAAACACAGTTTGCCGTCCATGTATATGTATACTTCCATACTACGAATGCAAATTTGAGATGGTTTTTGGTTGTAGAGTGTTTTTTGATGAATATGTTCGATCTAAACACCTTGACTTTTTAATATTGCAGTCTTCAAACTAGTGTGACTTAAATACCACTGCTTTCCGTCCAGAATTATAAACATTCAAAGTATATTTTTGGCCTATGAAGACATTTCAAATTGAAAGCTTTAAATTAAGTGTTACAAAAGGATGAATAAAATGTGATGTTCAAAATAATGGTAGTGAAAGAGAGTGTGAGTTTTAGATTTGTTTCGTATTAAAAAGCTGTATTAAAAAGAATGAATGACAGGAACATGTGAACGTGTAATCTAGAATTCTGAGTCTAGTCATCACATCTAAATACCAATTCTAAAAGGATGATAATGTAGGATTTCGAAAGATAAATTCATAACCACAGGTATGAAATGGAGGAATTCCTCCATGTTGACATTGAATTTGAAGTGTTGTTGGCAGCAGTTCTTGATTTGAAGGCTTCCCTGAAGTATTCCACAAAAGTACTCTGAATCCCGAGCAGAGTATGTGCCAGGTAAAGAATCTAGGTGGAGTGCGGCAATAAGAGAACGCACACAAATCCCTGGCTAGCACTGGGAGACTACAAGTTGAATACGACATGAATACAAGATGTTTTTAGGCCTCATTGCACACACAAACTGAATGGGTCAAACGGCTGCAAAGAAGACTAACCCTTTTGTTGGATTTTTTGTTCTGTCTTGCTGGACAATATTTAATGATTCGAGGCTTACGAAAACGCCGCTATCTTTCATTACGTTTTTTGACGCAAAAAATCTCAAAAACTTGTCTTGAAAAGCAATTAGCCGATAAAATGACATATATATATATATATATATATATATTTTTTGGAAGAAATTGGTGATAAACCAGGCTATAGTTTCAAAATTCGAAAAATTTCGCTGAAATAAAAAGTTGGCTGTTTTTGACTGGTGGGTTCCATGCAAAACTTTCCACCTTCGAACGTAGGTGGCGCTATTTAAGGTGACAATCTGGACGTCTGCAAACGGTAATCAAAAATGTGGGCTAGTACAATCCAAAACGAGGCTACCGCCTTCGCATTGTTGAATGGCGAAGGCGGCGGCCTCGTTATGGATTGTAACGTAGGTGGCGCTCTTTAAGGTTTACGGTCTAGGGGTCTGCAAAAGTGGTCTAAACGGCGGACGGCTACGTTCCAAAACGAGGCTGCCGCCTTCGCATTGTTGAATAGCGGAGGTGGCAGCCTCGTTATGGATTGTAACAATTCTCTGTTTAGACCACATTTGCAGACCCCTAGACCGTAAACCTTAAAGAGCGCCACCTACGTTACAATAC